GTAGTAATAATAATAGTAATGATAATAGTAATAATAATAATAGCAATAAATGCATGTATTAATAATTGTACATAAATGTAATTATTATAAAGAATAGCTAAAACAAACAAAGGCACAAAAAACAAATAAACAAACTAAAAAACTAACAAATTCATAAATAGATAAATAGATGAATGAATGAATGAATGAAAGTGAAATTTTTTTAAAGGAAATGAAAGAATAACATGTACTCAAAACCTACGCGACTGGCATGAGATTTTAGTTCCTATCAAATTACAGCACAACATTGAACACAGCATACATCACAGAACAACTAAAAGCTAAAAGGCTAGTTGAAACTCTTTTAATACCTAATTCCTCTACTCCAAATGAGGCGGGCATTTCCCTCGGTCCCACTCCCTAATGGAGACAACGACCTAACAGTTTTAGCGGTCACACTACAGAAAATGTCCCAAACTTTGTGCCCTCAGTCTCAGCTACATGTGACCTTTGGTTAGTGTTATTCTACTCTACGGGGCAGGGCCAAGTAAACGGAGGCTCACAATGAATGCACGCGAGTCTAAAGCCGGTCCAGAAAACATCAACCCAAATACTTTAACTTTAAAAAAACGTAACGTGATACCTTTTGTTTAGAGATAGGAAGAGCCAGTTCCCCTCTGGCCCTCAGTGTATCTCATAGACTACCAGACGTCAAGTTGGAAACATAAAAATTCTCCCTTTTAGCATCCTCACTGAACCACTCAACCCCCCCCCCTAACCCCCTGAAACCTCCTTCCCCAAGAAACAACGAACAAAAACGTTTCCTTCTCTCTAAACGAATGTCTTTAAAATCTTTAAAATTATTGAAAAGACTGAAATATCCCTTTGGACTGGTATGAAACTTGCATGCATACACATGAGCAAGAGAGGGGGTTAACTGAACGTAAACGGGGACTATTAGATAATAAAGACTGGTGCACATCCTACCATAACAACCAAAACTAAGGCGTCTTATCTAGCTATAGAATGAAAGGGTTAGAAAAACACGGGATACACAAACCCATACACACACAAGCAAACACACTCACACCTACAAGCAAATACACTCACATATACAAGCTCACCTCCAGTGAGTGTGCTCGCTCCTCCCACAAGAGCAGCACGTCACCAATCGGCCCATGTCGATGTTGTCTAAGTGACGTCAGTCAAGATTGGTCAGCCCCCTACATCACCCAGGTAGATGGAATCGAGGTCATAACTCTGACCTCCTCTGTCTGTTGGGGGGGGGTAACGTCTGAGGACTCAGAGCATGACAAAGGGCCCCATGGGTGAACTTACAAAAAGACAAAGATACAAATCAATGACTGAGTGAAAGACTCCAACAAAAACCAAATAGCAAAATGGCGTTTGTTGAAGTCTAACTTCCTGCCATCGAAATACAGACTGACTACACTTACTTACACTTCCATACTGGCGTTAAAGTTTAGCATCAGGATGAAGTCCAAATCCAAGGGTGGTCGTCAGGATGAAGGGTGGTCGGGGGTCCTAGTGAGTGCTCAGCTGCTGTGGTGCGCGGAGAGAATTCCATGCGCTGAACCTCAACAAATCTGCGGCGCTCCAGCGTTGACGGGGTTCCTCGTGCAGCAGTTGGAGTAGGATCCTCCTGTAAGGTTCCTTTATGTTGCTGCAGTTGTCTGTTGAGGCTAGCGGGTCGAGGTCGATGGTGTGTCGTTTATAGATAAGCACCCACATGGTGATTCCAAGGCTGTACATGTCCAGCTGTAGAGGGAAACAAGAAGAACAGTGTGGAGATTAGTTGGGCGAAAGAGAAATCATTGATGATTTTAGTGATATAAATTATGTGTAGGTGTGTGGGGGGGAGGGGAGAGAAAGAGAAAGAGAGAGACAAAGAGAGAGAGAATGAGAAATAGGTAGGGAGAGGCATGATTGTGGACTGTATAAAAAATTTGAAGGAAATACGTACATAAGACTCATACAATCAATGACGAACTGGATGAATTTGGGATCAGGGGTGTGAGAAGGAGACAGAGAGAGAGAGAGGGGG